CACTAACGGCCGCTCTCAACCGCCTAACCTCCAAACCGCCTAACGGTTTAACCGTCCAACCGCCGTACACGCACGTCGGCGTTCACTAGTTCAAACCCTAAGTCGGGCCGAACCCTAATCACAGTAATTCGGCTGACTATCATCACCGAATCTTAACATGGAGTGTTCGGAGTCTAGCGGCGCTACCCTAGAGTCACACTACCTAGAGTCACACTCCTAGTCTAGGTCTACACTGATAGCCTAGTAGGCTCAGTTGTCCGCGGATAAGCAAGTCCGGAAATCTCGCGCAAATCTGAATATCTACGGCTGATATCGAACCTACTCATTACGGCGGTTACTCAATAAGTCATTCGGGTGTAACGCTGTAACCCGCGCGCATTTAACCGCCAACCCCTAATTTAACCGCCAACCGCTAACTACCGGTTATCGTCGAACTCCCGTCGACGTCACCCAAGAGATCGCGCACACTAAATGCCCGAGTCTCAACACTCCCCCACACACTAATGACTTATGCAATTCCTATCTCGCTCTTGCACCTCTTGAACTTCCCCAGTGCCAGCGCCTTGGTCATGATGTCCGCCTTCATGTCCTCCGTCCCGCAGTACGCGAACGCGACCACCTTGCGTGCCACACGCTCTCGTACAAAGTGATGAATCACGTCAATGTGCTTCGACCGCTGTGAAGCGATCGGGTGCTTGAGGAGCTGTATTGCCCCTTGGTTGTCGCAGTAGATCAGGACCGTCCCTAGGTCCAACTCAAGATCTCCCCCGAGCTTGCGGAACCACAGCCGCCTCCTTCACCGCTTGCGCTGCGCTCATATACTCCGCCTCTACTGTCGAGGCCGCCACAGTTGGCTGCAGCCTACTCGACCAGCTCACCGGCCCCCTGTACATCAGGAAGACGTACCCGGTTGTGGACCGCTTTGTGTCCTTGACAGTCGCATAATCCGCGTCGCAATAAGCGATGAGAGTCTCTCCGCTCCCCCCAAAGGTTACCCCGTCCTCTGCCGTACCCGCTAGGTAGCGCACAACTCCAAGCGCCGCCCGCCAGTGCTCCTCCGTCGGCCCCGCCATATAGCGCGCAAGCGCGCCAACTGCCTGTGCAATGTTGGGCCGATGCACACACTCAAGTACAACACGCTCGCCACGCACTCACTGTAGGGAAACCGTTTTGTGTCGAGGGGTTCACCTTTTTTGGTTAATTTGTCCCCATTTCCGAGAGGGACCGAGCGTGCCCGGGCGCTCGCTAGTTCGTACAGTCCGACAAGCTCCCCCGTCAGCTTCTTCTGGGTTAGCTTCAGGGTGCGCGCCTCCCTATCGCGCGTCAGCTCCATGCTGAGGAAGTATTTCGCCTCCTCCAAGTCGCGCACGTCGAACTTCATTGTTGCCATTGGTCTATTTTACACATATCTGAATATCTACGGCTATTATCGCACCTACTCATTACGGCGGTTACTCAATAAGTCATTCGGGTGTAACGCTGGAACCTGCGTGCATTTTACCCCCCAACCGCTGATTTAACCGCCAACCGCTAAGTACCGGTTATCGTCGAACTCCCGTCGACGTCACCCAAGAGATCGCGCACACTAAATGCCCGAATCTCAACACGGACCTTCGCGCTGCTTCTTTTGTGCGTGATTTCAGCGTACGAGACGGACTCTGCGCCGTTCTCGGTTTAAGCAACGTCGAGTCCAGCTGGCCAGGGACCGTCGTTCCCCCGGAAAAACATAGGCTGATGACGCAATACATCAGCAGGGCGGAGGAAATGGCGACACGGAGTGGACGCCGGCATGGCGGCTGGCTCTCTAGATTAAAGAAAGTATGGGACACAGCATCAGGACTATGTTTGTTTAAGAAAGCAGGGTTTGAAACAGTTAGTAAGGTTGTTGAGCGGAGAGCAAAGATATTGCAGCAAGCGGCAAGATGTCGCACTGCTCCGGAATGCACTGAAAATCGAAATTTCACGTCGATTGACGGTTCTCAATGTTGCCCGGTTGAAAGTCTCACAAGCTCACGGTACACTGAAGCAAGCCGGAAATGATACTTCTGCAATATATTCTTGTCATATGTTATAGAATGCCAATTAGTTGAAATCTCATTTGGAGCCGCAAAGGACGATCTCCAAATAAGTTTCATCGCTGCGAGACGTGAGTTGCCTTATAATGTCAGCATCGGACACATAGGCATGGATCACGACTAACACTATAATCTTAGGTATGGCCTGCTCGGCTTCAAGTCCATCATGGATTTTGATGGCTCAGCTCTCCAATCAACGAGAACTTGAAGGGCTTCGCTCCCCGTCTTGATAGTCCTATACAATAGATAAACGCAAGCTGACACTCACGGTTGTTACGATCTTGCAAGAATTTTTGAAGTAGATGCTTCCGTCAAGTTTTATGCACGCTGCCATCTCTACAAAAGCTCAACAACATTGAGAAAAGCGGACTCTAAGACGACTTTGGTCTCAAGTAAAGGGCTTGCCAATGATACATTGACAATTTCAAGTGTAAGCAAGAAAAGCTGCAAGATACACATATCATCTGCACGCTCGCAAGTGTTCTATGGTTCTAAGCAGCTGAACATCATACTCAGTGTATCAAGATGCTGTGTGAAATTGCTCATCTCGACAGGCGAAACCGTTTGCTGAAATACAGCTCGCTTGCATGTCCGCTTTGGTACAAGTCTCCCAGTTCTTCATAACTAGGATCCCTACTTCGGTCAGAGAGAGCCCCTCAAGAGTCTTTCGAGTCTCTTCCTCATTCACGAAGCCCAAGCTATCCGGCTCATAACTCATGAGATCCGCTTCTTTGAAGTGGTCGTCAGTGACCGGATCGACGAGTTACCTCGTCATCTGCAAGAGCGCCGCTAATGATTGTCAGCTTCGGCAATTTGTTGTCGCAAAGTCTGCATGCTGTAGAAAGGCACGAAGCGATCATGCCTCTGAGCACGCTTGCTTGAAGGATCACGATCCGAGAGCTCAACAAAGCATCAATCAGAGAGAGCTCACGCACTGATTGGTGAAGAAATTTTCTCCACGATCTCGGAACACATGATCCGATCCGAGGGACAACAGATTGTGATCAAAACGATACGACCAGCACAATCAAAGGGTAACAGCCGAACCAAAAAGTCTAAATCAGTGAATATACTCACCTTGTGAGCTTCTCCCAAGTGCTCAGATGAATGGAGCCCGCAACGACTCTGCATGGATGGAGACACGGGGTAAGCACAACAAGCTCAAATGGCGCACAGGCGTCGTTTATAAATGGCTCGTCGACCTCATGATGCCTGGCGGTAAGGATCTGCGGATAGGGCTGGGAACGATTGCTGCAAGTTAACGTTCGTGTGTTGTCGTATTTGAAACTCGGTTCATGAGATCTAGAAGCATCTGAAAGCGGGTCGACAATGTACGCAAAGTCCAAAGCCTACTTTATGCTGACATGCGTTCAATAAAGCAGATTCGGCACTTTCCAAGGTGAAAGTAGAAGGGAAATATGTCAAAATTGAAAGGATAAATATGTAGAATAGACTATTGCATGTGGCATGGATGACGGTGAACTTATCCGTGAGCTTCGGCGCTCAATTTTCCGGCATGTGCCTGATGCCTGGTCGCGTTACCGGAAAAGTTCAACTCGCTTCGAGTCTTACCTTGGCCGTCACATAGATTCTTGATTAAGTTAAAGTACGGCTCTCTCCTCCAGTGAAGCCGGGTTGCGCTTCGCTATCTGCCACGATCGCCCGCAAATGGTGTGCTTGTGCGGAAGCATAGACTTCCTTGGACTCTATTTACGCTTTTGCAAGTACCCTTCACCACAAGTTGCGACTTAGACCGCTCCACGATCTCAAGCGCGTTCCGCCTGAACTTGTAGATTACTTTTTGAAAACCTTGAACCCAGCTTCACCCTTCCCCGTTTGTCGACAAGGTCCCATCCCATTCCCCAACAAGGACAACATTCCCCTTTCATGAACATTTGCCAAAGCTTGCTGTGCATTCCTCCTGGGGCTTCTGAAATGATTGCGACTTCGGATGCTTCCCCTTGTCTCCTTGGAATGCTCCCCGTTTTTGTTGCTAAGTTGCCCCCAGTTCCAATCCCCGAGCGCCCGCCTTTTGCGTGCGGGGTGGATTTTTGCTTCTCTCGAACGCCGCCTTCTGAACGGATTCCTCGTTTGGCCTCTACGTACGAGTAGCCCCTACACCGACTTGATTGTTAGCCTCTCCCGTAGGGTCAGTCTGTTCATGCACCCGTCCGAATCATGGGACTCAAAAGACAGGTCGGACTGCGAGCACTACCTTCTCCTTCTCCGTGTCAGTGCCAACCTAAACAATCACGGAGGGCCCACGCTCATACACAATGACGCGAAAAACCAACACCCTTCCATCCCGCTCGTAAGCGGTGAAACAATTTGGAGTCGAGCTCATATCCCAAGGACACCCTACTCTCGCTCATCAACACCATCTTCACTAGGTTCCCTTGGGCACGTGGATGTACGCCCGCCTCAAACACGTGCAAGTGGCTACGGTCTGGCTTCTTTCATAAATCACCGCCCCGCCGTCTTGTAGCACATGTTCGAGGGTACACGATTCCGGTTGTAGTTGGTTGTCGCCATCGAATCTGCTCACAATTCAGCTCGAACCCGGCATTTTTAGCGAAGCCCAACACCTTTCTTCAGCGTCCAGTTCAGTCGCTTCGCTAAACCCCTTTGTTCGTCAAAGCGCCTCAATGTGGTTCGAACACCGTTTCCCCGTTCCCAAGGAGGGCCGTTCAATCCCGCATTGACGTGCTGAGCCCCGCCCCAGCACCGCCTTGACCCTTTTCCGGATTGTGATTTCAAGCGCACGTGCAAAGCCGCTTCCCGTAACTGCCATGACGTTCTTCCGCTTCATCGAGTGCACCACCAAAAGCTTTCTACAGACGTTTGAAAAATGGCCAAGTCCTTGCTCCCCCTCTTTGATGAGCCGCACATGTCCATGTACAAGAGCTTAAGAGGTACTTTGTTCTCTTCGGGGTCGAACTCCTTGAAGCAGGGGTCATGTGTTTGTTTTCAATGCTGCAAGGCTTGCACACCGAGCTTCGTTTGTCCAGAGGCATCCCAGCTCTTATGCCAAAGCCCCTCGGTAATGTTGGCTAGGCTTTCGTACATGGCGTACCTCAACCTTCCGTGTCACAACACCCGGCTCTCGACGTTTCTCATGAGCAAAACGTTGTTCTTCCTCGGTCGTTTTGAATGGCAAACCACAAACTCTCCGTTCATGGAAAAATTGCACACGTCGGCTTTTGTTCGGGTGATTAGGCTTCATGGAATAAAGGTTCGTGTTAAGTTCTCATGCACTGCCCCTCGGGTTACACTGGCGCCAGTTTAGCCCGAATGGCAGCGCGTGAAAACTTAACAAAATGTGGGAACCGGGTTGACGTCGGCGTGACGTTACCGGGCCGCGGCCGAGTGGGCCGGGTGATCTGAGTTCGAATCCCAGGAGAGGCAATTTTTCAGCTGAGAGCGCGAAAAGGTTGCCAGTGGGCGAAAAACGGCCTGAGGGCAAGAGAGGGCGCCAGTCACTGAACGGTCGCAATGTGGCGAGCCCAAAGGGGATGTTGAGAACCGGAGAATCCGGTTCCCACATTTGTTGAGTTTAAATGCCCTGCCACTCGGCCCGTACACTGACGCTACACTAGCGTCAATGTAGCCCGAGTGGCAGCGCGTTAAAACTCAACACAAAGTCTCGGTTGTAGTCCCCAAAACAGAAGAGCGAGCTGGCCAAGGTTATTGAGCACGTGATCAACCGGTTGGAATTGCAATTGGGGAAGAAAGCTCAAATTGGTGCGGACGGATCGGGGCAGGGAGTACTTCAACGCTTGAAAACGTTTTCGGGGGTACACGAGAAAACCGCCCCCTATAGCGCCAAGCAGAATGGGTCGGCGGAACGGGTTCAGCGGGATTCGAAGGAGAAGACCCGGGCAGTGCTTGAGGATTCGGGGTTGGCTAAAGAATTGTGAAGGTTGAAAACCGTGGTGACGGCGAACGACACCCGGAACCGGACGCCCGTGAGCGTCCATGGGAGGACTCTCTGGGAAGATTTCTTCGGTAAAAAGCCGAATGTCGGGCATATGAGGGTTTTTGGGGCCCAAGCGTTCCGCCACGTCCCCAAGCGGCGGCCCGTGGCGTAAGCTAGATCCAGTGAGCGAGCGAGCGATGTGTGTTTGTTGAGATTGGGCTAGATTTTTGTAGGTTTCACTCGTCATCGGGTCTTTTCGTGTTGTTCGGCACTCATGTTCAGCACTCATTGATGGCAGCCATGCATCCTGAGAGGAATACACGACGCGCCTCACAAGCGGCTTCCTTCTACCCACAAACTTCTCTTAGAATGATGTATCACAGTAATTTTTCTCACCAC